CATTTCACTATCTGCTCTTCTACTATCGAATACCAAGATGATAAACACAAGCGTGCATCATACAATTGTATGCTAAACAGTACTTTTGCATGGAGCTTTGGTCCAATATACGATACTGTATCGAGTACGTTTTAATACAAAGAGAGACCAGAAATTCCATCGTGGATCTGCATTATCTTTCTTTTGTCGTTACACTATGCACAAAACAACTTGATATATTGATATTTCAAAAGATTCTTATTTGTTTTCAAATTCGCTAACAAATAACAATAGAAATACAAATTATGACTCTACCTTTACCTCCTTAGTAATTCGTTTATCTAGGCACACACCGGGTGATCTTATTTATAAAAATCACAAGTCGACCAAATTGAATTTACTTAATTCAAAACTTATTTCCATGTAGTCTTGCATCATGACAGTTTGTAATTCACAACTTTATAAATTCATGGGATCTTATTTTACTAATATGTGTCCACAAAAAAGAACGACTGAAATCGTCTAAGGTAAGCTTGGTGTAAATCTGTGCTTTGCTTTTGCGTCAATTGGCATTTCATGCGCCAAAAAAATCTTTCATTTGCAACACAAACCATATTTCATTTGCGCAAAAAACAAAACATTTTATTTGCTCCAATATAACAGGTAATAAGTATAAATAATAAATCTATATGTGACTTTTAATAATAATATTACCAGATAGTTTTCATAGCATAATATAATATATTCATCATAAATCACACGAATGAAAAAACAATGATTATAAACCGTGGTTTACTGTTATGCTATCATTCAATGTTTTTATAATGGTTTTGCTGTCTACATCTGTTGTGATTCTTGCTTTGTAACTTTTTTGTGGTACGATTTGTCTCCGTTTTTCAATACGTTGGATAACCTAAATGTGAATTCTTAAATATATACAGAAATATTGTCTCTTCTGCTTGTCTCCAAATGAATTATGTCCATTTTGTCACCTCGAACATGTGAACACTATATAATTTAATACCGTGACTATCAGTTTGTATGAGAAATGAGTATGTACTCAGGAGGAATACTCTACAACATTTCTTATACGAGCCTCGTATTCAGTATAAAACTTATATTAAACGCATCGGTTATATTATACATGCAACTAAGCGCAAAAAACGTATTGTTTTTGGTGCAAACGAATTACTGCAAATGTATAATAATTGACACAAATGCAATGCGCCCGTGCAAATGATAACGAATAGAAAACATAAAATAACCGGATGATAACCTAGCTACTAATATGAACTAACTGTACAACTAAAGGTTGATAGTATTTAAGATATATTGATGTTTGCTAAACGTCCAGTGACAAATATTTCAAGCATGTTCAGTACGAGAATAAATTAAAAATAAATACATGTTCAACAGGTAAATCCTGTAATAGGTGTCGACTGTGAAATCGGGTGGGAAATTTGGACTGCCACTGTAAAAGGAGGTTATATTGGATATGGAAATAAATATTGGCCTTGCAACTGGCAAACTACATACGTTCCCATTCTGACCGGACATGGTTGCATAATTATACATCTGCTATTTGTAGACATATACATTGGTTGTGTTGGACTTGCCGATCGGAAGAAAACCAAGAGTGAACATATTTCTATTCCGAAGTCACCCTTGGGTGTATTTAAGAGTTGATCCTTTGAAGAAATATACTTGAGTTGTATTTTGGTAAATAAATAAATACAACATGATTTGTTAATGTTTATAAGCAACGTATGTTTTATTCTAGTTATTCATTGAATTTGTTTGAAATTAATGTATTGAAATATGTGGCTTTTAACAAAATGTAACAGATATTTCTCATTGAGTTGAAGTAAAAGGAATATATCATCATCCCGATCTATATATATAAATAGCCAGCCTTTTCACTGAACAGTTTCATATATGAAAATCATATTTTGAGCTATTAAAAATTAATTATCTGAATCTAAAAGTCATACACAAATGCATATCTAATATAAAGGCAATTATTGTATATATAATTTGTAGGAAATCAATTGAAAAAAGAAAATAATTCAAGTAGAAAGTAATAAAACTATATTTATTGCAACTCCCTAAGGCAAAGTTGACCTTTGACGGTTCTGTTCTATTTAAAACCTTTTAACTTTTATGCTTTCAAAATTTGTATCGCTTTGCCTTTCAAATCTTTTTTTACTCGAGCCAAATTTATTCCGGAAGCACTCGCTTTGCGCACGGTTATCATGTCATATTACGTTACGTTATTAATAACTTATGACTATGCATTTTAATTTATTTATACTAGTCTGATTAATCTAAAATTATATAATACTTTGGGCTCTGATGGATCGTTGTCTCATGGTTATCATACCACATTTCCTTTTTTTGCATACTGGGTAACAATGCTAAGCTTTTCAATGAGTATTTGAATAAATGTAATTATAAACTGAATGAAAAATAATATCCAGAGTTCGCATGATATAACAACTCTTACATAAACTTCATATACATTTCATAGATACAGTTTTAAAATATAGTTTTTTCTGGATATAATGAATAATTAAACGTTCAATGTTTTAAATAATGATATATGTCTGTTTTTTGTGTTCTATATAATGTGATAAACAAATCAGGTCATAAACATGTATACAGGTAAACGTTTTCCAAAAGATATACTGGTAAGGTTGTTTGTTTGTTTGTTTGTTTGTTTGTTTGTTTTGCTTTAAATTAACAACTATACAAACAGTTGCCATTCAAAAACCAAATCTCTTTGGGTAGTACAAAATGCATACATATTTAGTTAAATAAATATATAACTGTAAGTTATGTTTTCTCTTTTTTTATCAAAAAGGCTCCAAGAAGCGATCCCCATGTTTCGTTATTTGAAGTCATGTGATAAAGCAGTTTCACCAGTTCTGACGACTTTAATAAAGGACAAAGATTTGCTACCAGTGTATGTTTTTTATAAATAAAGGCATATAATTTGTGAAAAATTTCACACAATCCTATTTTGAAGTTAGCTTAACAAATTGTGCACGTGACCCTTTCTAACTGAAATGTCATGCTGATAATTGCACAATTTCTTGTTCATAGGAAGTTCCTATATTTCATTGCATTTTATACAAGTGAAACATACAATTGAACAAAATAAAAATCCTAAAACATTTTTATGATAAGTAAGGGTCTTTATATTAACTGTTTTCTTGACATTTTATGCAATTATTTGGCTATTCTTTTTTGTATGCCCAATTTGTCTCTATTCCTTATATTTCAACAATTCATTATTCTCTATTCTTTATCTTTTCGCCCATTTTCTTTCTGTTTATTTTAGCACCACATTATTATCTATTCTATAAATTATCCCATCATTTCCTATACTGTTACTCACTTCCATGATCTTATAAGTGGTTTAACATGATTTTATTCGGTTGATTTCAAAACAAAGAGATATCACTATTTCTACATGATTGAAAAATTTTGGTACTGACCTGTGTACACACAAAGTACAACTGATTATATAAAATATGCAGATATGGATCTATCGTTGAGTACTACTTATATTTTTAATTTTCATTGAAACATGCCAGTTTTATATTTCGATAACTTAGCCATATGTTTTTCGTTCCTTAATTCGCGAACCTGTTATTCAGTTACTATTACTTTGGTATTAAGATGATTCGCATGCTTCATTCTGTGCGTAAATTGGCCGTTCGAAAATAATATTAAAGCAAAGGTTTCAAAGTGTCCTTAGACTTTTTTGGCTGTTCAGTTTATTCTTTTTCTTAATTTTGTGCACTCAAACTTTTTTTTCTCGAAACGTAGAAAGATTGAGAACAATAAAATGTATATATCCAAACTCGTTCTCTATGTCCGTGTCTGAAGTGACGTTTTGGATTTCAAAGAACGAAATGTGAGTATTACTGGTAAAATATTAAGTCAAGGATTTCGACTACAAATTACTAAAAACCTTTACTAACTTCTTTCATAGATACAAACAGTTTTGTGCTTTGTATCAATCTAATGATTTTAATCTTTTGTTTTTATGTTGAATGTGCTGTTCCACCATTGACCCAGGTTAGGGGATGGTTTGGCGCCCACAATCTTGTTTATCCTCCCCACATTATATATGTGCCAGTCCCAAGTAATGAACATGTAATTCAGTGGTTGTCGTTTATTACTGTATATCATATTTGTTTTTCATTTATTATTTGTACATAAGTCAGACTGTTAGTTTTGTCGTTTTGATTGTTAAATACATTCATCCTTTCGGGTCCTCTTATAGCCTGCTATTCGGTATGAGTTTTGCTCGTTGTTGAAAGCCATACGGTGACCTGCATGTATAATTGCTAACTTCTACGTCATTTGGTCTCCGGTAGAGTTGTTTCATTGGAAATCATACACATCTTCTTATTTTTATACATGTATTCACATGGTTGGCTCGTGACGAAAGATTCTTGTATTAGCCAAATATCTTTTCTTGATTACCCTTTACTTCATTTCTAATATAATAAGTACGGTAAAACTATGTACAATAGCTCTTTTCATATATATATATTCACTACAACCGTAAAGCTTTTAGTTTTTCTGATGAATATTTATCCAAACAATGGGTTCGAACGGACAGTAACGTATGTTTCATTTAGATGTATGGTTATCGTTGCCTCTTCAATTTTTTTTTTTATGTATGGAATATGCTGTTATTTTAGATATTGTGTTCGGTCGTATCTGTCCATTCAATTTACAATTTGTTAAAAATATAGAATAAAGTGGTTGTCGTTTAATATGCACATTTGCAATTAAACCCCATTGGTCCAGGCCAATATGGTGACCTACAGCGGATGTCTGTTCTTGGTGAACTTGGATTATTAACTCTATTATTGTCATTACAATTTTTACTCCAGGCATACTTTTATTCATATTTAAGTGTCATAATTGCAAAACTGAATCATGTACTGATATTTTGGTAAGTATTTATAATATGGTTTAGTGTAAAATTTAAAACTAAGACTACGTCAGTTCTGGACATTTTTTTATTGAGCGAAAATGAGAAAAGATAACATATGGACAAACTCGTTATGAAAAAATAAATTATGTATATATTTGTCCGAATAACAAGATATGTTCAATATATTTTTCAATATTTGGTAGCTAGCATTTAATTAAAGGTGACCATTTCTGCCAAATTTGGATGAATAGTATGTTTAATATATAAATAAGATGTAGTTTGATTGCCAATGAGAGAACTATCCATCAGAGACCAAAGGATGAAAATATCCCAACTATATAGGCCACTGACCGACCTTCAACAATGAGCTAAATCCATACAGTATAGTAATGGAGGTATGAAATAAAATGTTTATAAATTTTCATAAATACAATATGTGCGAAATAAACAAGTTAAACTTGATAATTTTATGAAAGATCAATAAATGTAAATGAATCCCTGCTATAAATTAATTATGTTATTTTCTTGTGGAGATACACATGTATATGACGATGAAAAAACTTGCAATTTAATGTGTACTACAGGTATATTGATTGTGTGAGAATTACGGTGGAAAAATGGCATGCATGAACTGCAATCATGACTTCTGTACTTAAAGAAGTAGAATAAATATCGTTTATCATTTAAAATGTCTTTTAACATGTTTAAGACAATCTTAAATTTTCCGGATTGATCATTTATTTTCATCTGTATTTACGTAATACTATGCTTATTATCATATTTGTACAAATAAATAAGTTTCCTGCATTTTGTGCTGCAGAATAATCATTTTCATCCTGTCTTGTGCAAAATTATCTATTTTTAGTTCTTACCAGGACAAGTAACCAGATATATATAAAGCAAGAGTTCGGTGCAATGTATGCGTGTTATTATAATATACATTTGTAAATTGTGTCAATTAGTGTTTTTTTTTTTTTTATAAATATAAAATATCTATGGAAATGTACAACAAAGTAGAATATATCAGCAGTTGATACTTCACAGCGTATTGGACGGATTTGAAAGGCTTGAAGTTCCCTGGGAACATATCCTGAAATGAAAGAGGAAATTTGTTATATATATATTTTAGTACATCTGTTTCACATTTGTATTAAAAAAGACGAGGAAGATACCAAACGGTAACTCAAACCCGGGAACAGTATATCTAACATTAATATATATGTTCCTGTTCAAACCCATAAGTCGAAGAAAACTGACAAAGCAATAATTTCAAAAATCGAAAATTACAAGATAGAAAACTAAAGACTGAGCAACACAAACCACATAAAAAACCAGAGGTGATCTCAGTCGGTGCAGAAGGCTAAGTAGATACTGCTCCACATGTGGCACTTGTCGTGTTGCCAATGCATGAAGTGATATCAATTAACGGAACAAGGGAAGTTCGAGTAAAATAGTACGGGATTGTGGTAACGATAATTGGAATGTATCCGTCGTCATCTGTGAAACAGATATTCTATAACGGTCAACCAACTCGTGATGGCATCTGTAAACTTTTCAAAGGGATGACATTAACTTTACTTCCCTTGTTCCGTTAATTGATAGTTTTTGATTCGTTCAACAGAGTCATCAAAGTTGAAAATTTTTACTGAGAAGACATCATCTATGTAGCGGATAATGAATTTAAAGGACAATGTTAGCTTCTTTTCATTCTCCCTAAGAAACCCCTGTATGAAGTCTTTATAAAAGCCCAAAATATAGAGCGGATATTAAGTTTTGATAAACACTCTTTCTGTAGCTGAAAATTTAATCAAAAGAATTGTTTTAATGCTGTTAATTTATATTTGCATATCCAATGTTCATGTTTCAATGCGATGTAAAAGATAAAACGTTAATCAGCTTTTCAAAAATAAAACTAGACTCATTATTTTTTTTCTAATTGAACGTAATGATTACGATGTAATAAATCAGTACAAACCAATTACTTCAGACACGTGCCAAAACCAAAGCAAAAAAACCGTGCTTTTTGTCTCTTTAAAGTCGGAGTGATACTTTTAACACGAGGCAAATGACCACACTTTACGCACATTTTTATTTATAGTTTGTAGTACAATGAATGAAGACACATGTTAGAGTTTTAACGCTATCTGCTTAAATAAACAAAAAGGAATACACTATTTTATGTACTAACGGTACATGTTTCTGGGATAAACTTCATCAGAAAGATCAAATGTTTCAGAAATTAAAAAAAATTTTAACTGCCAAATAGAACTAAATTACACATATAACATACAGATTGTGAAGTAGTGAATGAAGTCGGTTGTTTTCATGGCCACATTGTTGTTAGGTATAAGCTGGGATAGACTCAAGATATTTTTCATTGAAATCTAAATTAATTTACCACGAAGTTATCTAGACGGATTAAAAAAAATTTAATTATGCCACGTCTGCTCTAACAAGTTTTAACAATTATATCGAAAAAACATATTAGGTGGTGAATATTTCACAAAGGCTTTCGCCATTTTTAAAATTGTTATATAAGTAATGATATTCTTTTAAAACATCACAGTGATTACTTTTGTATGCCTGAGTGCTTTTTTAGAATTTAATCTACAAGACTATGTCTCTAATCAGGATGTTCCTTTAATGTGATTATTCTATAGTCTGCGATTAGAAAAAAAATCAAATAGGCGCTTTATTGATATGTAAATGTAACGGAGCTTTACTAGATATTTAAAGATAAATGAGCTTTACTCAGATCAAATACATTCAGGGTTGTTTGATTTTTTGTTATACATAAAAGTTAAAATATTGGTTTTCCTTTTCTTCATTTTCTTTGTTCATTTATCCATTCAATAAGTGCATTACTTAGATCAAAATCGTTGTGATACTTCACATGTCTAGAAAGTTCTCATTATTTTTTCTCTCAGTAATATTACCAATCGATTAACACACTTTGATAAAACATTTCGTAGAAACTAAACGCATATGCAGAAGACTTAACCTTATGGTTATCCCTTCTTACGGACCAATTACTTCTTTCCCTTGGAGGCAGCAGCCGGTGGGACTGAACGAGGAGTTTTACCTCCCTCACGTAATTGTCTTTTTTGTTCTCGTCTTTCATTTATCAACTCAAGTTGTCTCCTTTTTTCATTCTTTAGTCGCTCTGTATTTTCAGCCATGTTATTGAGCAGCATGGCTGTTTCAACTCTATGTTGGTGCTGAAATATTTATATAATTTTATTAGCATGTATATACTGCAGAAAATGACAAAAGATTTTAAAAGTTGGTGATTCTGAAGCTGTTTTGTGGATTTATCTTCATCAGTAACGCTCAAACCGAAAAGAATGTACTTGAGAAGGTCAACTTTGACTGGGGGAGTTGGAACCATAATTCTTAATAATTTCAACTGATAGTTATTAATTATATTGACTATACCAAAGAAAATGCCCCATAGGATGTCAAGTGTCATTTTTGTGTAATCAATATTAGGTCTTGGCTGACGAAAACGACATATATATTTCTTGCTTATGGTTCAAGAATTATCAAGGCATACTCGGATGTATCTTTCACTTCAACAGTCATCCTAGTAATAAGGAGACAAACTATGTACAGTATAGGAAATGCGCCTTTAGAAAGGAACTGTCTCAGATTCTTGAGAAGTTCACTGGGGTATAAAAAAACGTTTATCTTCGGATTTTCATCTTCGGACAGTAAACATATTCCAAAGAGAGGCGACCGATTGGCTATGAGGGATGTATAAATACGCAGTCAAGTCCGGTGAGAACGGGGACGTTAAATCCGATGCCTCGTGTAGTGACAGTTTAACACTCTCTTCACGTTTAAGAACATTTGCAACTACTCTTTGAGGGGTCCTTAGGTGGCCCATTATAAGGCTAGACTACTGCCCCTATCCAAATTGTCCTCATTTTCCGGTGGCAGTCGAAAATCACGTCCTTTATTCTGGTCGACGTACTTTGCAAATCGTACCAATTGGATTTATTTAGCAAACAAATACTAGTAGTAACTAAAGGCAACAGTAGTATACCGCTGTTCAAAAGTCATAAATCGATTAAGAGAAAACAAATCCAGGTTACAAACTAAAACCGAAGGAAACACATCAACTATAAGAGGAAAACAAAGGAACAACAGAAACACTGATGTGCAACAAAAAACAAACGCCAATGCAAGTAACAACATTCAATCAATCATTTTATGTATTTGTAAAAAGTTGGCGGTCATGCGAGGAAAGACTACTGTTATCCTTAATTATCTCTAACTTTATACAGCATTATATGCTTACTCTTCTAGACAGAATGTTTGCGCGTTGTGAAACTCGTATCGTATTACATGTATAGCCTTTGAATAGTCTTGAACGTTATCAGTGGTTTTCTTTGATATATTATAGTTATTATCTTTTAAGCAATATTTTATGAATACTAGATCTTCGATGGTTTTTGTTTAATTTGTTCACAACTTTTTTATACTCGGGAAAATTTAGAGCTTGTAGTAGTTTATAGATAATTAACGATAGAGAACTTTTGTGGACAGTTGGATTTGTTTTGTTTTTATATTCTTGGGATGCTTGCCTCGTTACATGTAAGACACACCCCACATCACCTGTCATTAATACTGCAATTGCAAAGACAAAATCGATATGAGGTAATAGATGTGCAGGTTCAATGTTGATCTCATTCGATAAAAACATAATTGCGCAATTTGAAAATGTGATCTATTACATATAAAATTTCCTCCGAACGTAAATCTAAAAATAGTTATCTGATTTCGATACAATTATACGAAATATATAGGAAATAGAAGAAAAAACAACGACAATTTTAAATGTGACAAACAAATCATATTTTCTATATTTGTTATCAGATCCCCAGCATATCATCTTCTGTTGCCAGGATGTTTCAGTTTTGTGAATAAATAATGACTATTGATTACAATCACACGTCCATTGATTTTATAATTTTGCATTGACGTTATTTTTCATTTGATAACTTTTAAAAACAATAATGAGGCACGATCACTTCGATATGGTGTAATATAATGGTCTTTCTGAAGAAAAAAAATACACAAAGAATTAATGGTTGTTGTTGTTAGGATTTTTAATTGTAACATCTAATTGTGATTATATCTAATTTAGATAACGTAACTGGAATTAGCTTACAAAAATAGCTTTCAAAGTATTAAGATTGGCTTTCAATTAAAGCCTAATATCTGAAAACATGTTTGTACTGACACTACTGCAAATTTCCATTGTCGCTTATTTATATTGTTTACTTTACTTCCGGTTGCCTAGCAAATTTGATACGCGCTCTAAAACATTTTCTTTTTATTTCAATTAAATTAACTTTCATATCCTGCATTCCAATCACTTTGTTTAAAGAACTCTTCAAATTAGAGATAATAATCATACAAAATTAGGGATCTGTACCGTGAAATTACCAAATAAAATAAAATATTAGTTATATAACTGCAGAATTTATGTAAAAGTTTCAAGCCACATAACAAAAATGAACAGGTTGTATTGATATCGGAGCACTGTTAAAGAGTCAAAACCAGAAAAAAATATTTAATAAAGTTCAGAAAACACAGAATATCGTCCCTTGCTCATTAAATGAAACCTTATGATGCGAATTTTACTGACAAAACATACCTCCAATTCAGATATTTCAACATCAATAGGGGTGACGGATGGACTTCCGGTAGATGACAATGTCTCCGATATGGTATGCAGTCTGTTCTGCGCATCAGTTGATGCAGAATTATTTCGAGTTGAATTTGTAGACGAAACCGTTATAACGTCGGTATCAGTTTCTTGGTAAACGCCATTTGGCATTTCTGATATAGGCGACTGACTTTCTTGACCATAAGGCGGTGCTCTCGTAGAAGTTATCGAGTCAAGTGACGAAAATGACTGCTTTTTTTCTTTATTTCTTCTAAACTTATCAAATAGTCTTAGTGACTTTTTACTTTTTATGAACAACTTTCTCTTCAATTCTTTTCTTTCGTGTGGTGGTAGTTTAATTCGAGACTGCGCATGAGCATAATATAGCGTAAAATTATTGACGACAATCGGAACAGTAAATGCCACAGTCAGAACACCACAAAGTACAGCTGCACAACCAATGATATAACCACCCTCAGTTTTGGGAACTTTATCTCCATATCCGACTGTCGTCATGGTTACGAGTGCCCACCAAAATCCGATTGGAATGTTTTCAAATGTTTCCGATTCAACGTAGAACACAACACTGGCAAAAATTAAAACACCAGTGAATAAAAACACGACCATCAGCAGTAATTCCTTAGTACTAACTTTGATTGTGTACACTAATATGTTAAAAGCGCTGTAATGCTTCATCAGTTTAAAAATTCTTAATATTCGAATGGTTCTTAGCGCTAACATAGATTTAAAAAGTTGACTTGTGCTATCATTTGGGTTTATAGTAACAAGAATGATGGCTATAAGATGTGGAATTAAACATAACAAATCTATTATATTCAATGGCTGGCGGAAAAACTGTATTTTTCTTGGAGCGAAAAAGACACGAATGACAAACTCTGTTGTGAAATAAGCTGCACACACATAATCAAGAATAGTCATAACAACATGCGGTTTTGTATCTGAAAACTTGTATTCTGCACTAGTCACTGTTTCTTTAATACAATAATCTTCATTAGGTGCCTGAAGTAATTCATATTTTGTTTTATTGATAGGTTGAGCGCCATCTATAGGAACACGGAACTTGTGGTATGTCTCTAAACAAAATATAGCTATAGACATAACTACGAAAAACATGGAGATAACCGCAAAGGTCTGAAAATAAACCAAGCAAGTTATTTAACTATTTTTAAGACCTTAACTACAAAGTTTCAAAATGAGGTAACGCAAAAAAGAAACTCTCAAGACATGATTGTTTTTGTCCTCAAATGATCGGAAACAAGCTTAAATTATTTCGTATATTTCTCTTTTAAATTGTTTTACATTTTGTTATCCTGTTGTATGGGTTTTGTTCATTATTGAAGGTCGTACAATTACCCGTTTTCGTTTACATCTTTAGCATTCGGGTTATAGCTGTTTCATTGGCAATCACATAGTACATCTCCTTATTTTTATACAAGTACACACAAAAATGTAGTGGGAATACATCGTTAAAAACTCATTTGTATAAGATAAAAAGATCACATGGATTTCATAGTGCATGCTAGTTTTAAATACAATCATTAATCGTGGTGACATTTACTATTATATGACAAAAAATCTGAGGGCTGAATAATGTTGCTGTGATTTTTTGTTACATGATAAATTCTAGCCTGTAAATGTTTATGGCAAATTGCATTACATATATGATCAAAATTCTATGTTTTCACTTGAAATCTATGCAACTGTCAAAAACAAACACTAAAATCGAAATCTTAAAAAAAAACTAATATAGACATTTTGCACATAGTATCAACAGAGCAGGAAATGACATCATGCTTACAATTCTTATCTGCAGTAAATAATTTTTCTTTTTTCTAACATAAAATGTTCGTGCTATTAATATTTAGCATTTGTGCATAACAGTAGAGCATTTACAAAATGTTTGTTATCATTTGAAGGTCTTTCTTACCTTGGCTCCTCTTGACGACGAAGGTTCCTCTAAAAATTGCCATGCTTGTATTTTGAATTTTGTGAAACTTGACGTATTTTCATCATATAACTCCGGTTCAAACGAAGAAGTGAAATTGTCATCCAGCGCGGCCAATGTTTCTTTGTGATCTTTGTACTTACTGTATGTGCCCCAGCAACACGGTTCTATGTCTAATTCTGTCAAACCCCAATATTCAAGTTCCTACAAGGTACAAAATATTCTGACTATTATATATGATATGTATACGTGTTTGACGTTTGTAGGTACAATTGTATGTAACTTCATGAGTTTTTATTTAAGAATTGAATGCTTCCTTTTGTAATTTTATTTGGGTGTAAAGTTGTTGACTGAAGCACATTTTGTACATAGCGCTTTATATTAAAGATTTACAACCCTATAAAATTAGGTAAAGAAGCATTCAATTCTAATAATAACATTTATGTGCTACAATTGTGAAATTACGAGTTATATGATTTTTTTTTTGTTTGTTTTCCTATGCATTGCTGTAACGTGGTCACGGGAAGCACGTGCTGTCATGAATGTTGCATTTTAATGGGAAATAAAATCTAATTTTGGAATGCCTCTTAATTGTTTTCAGACAACCAAAAGCACGTATTATTATGAACCATACTAGTACATGCTATGTAATCATAATTGATTGTGACTACATTATTATTCATAATAAAATGTGACTACATATATATTAAATCTAAAATGCGAATTGTCTCGTTTTTACATTGTACTCTAGTCAATAAATATGGAACGACAACCAAACAACACGCAATTACCATAAAACTTCACATAGATGTTTTAAATGGTATTTTAAGCTCAAAATAGCCTACAGTCTACTTGCATAATTTCAAAATTGACAATTAAATATTTCAAATGGCGTTGTGCGAGTGCCATTTACTATGCACATGAAATACCATCTGCAATAACAATTTAAGATTTAGTAGGTGACCTTTGAAGGATGAATTTCTGGCCCTACATGTATTTACATCATGTCTGAACAGTGGCCTGCCTTATTTATCGCTCTTCACTCGTCGAACTATTTTGATGGTTTTGTAATACGGGAGGTCGTGGGTTCGGTCACCTACCGTGTCAAACCTTGAGACTTGGAAATTAGAATTTGCTGCTTTTCTGCAAAGCACGCGGCAATTTAAGAGTAAGAGCAAAGATTAGTCGGCACAGAGTCCGAATAATATGTCCGGGTAGGGTGTCACGTCTTGCTGTGAAATAATATCTAATGAACTAGGATGTCAAAAATCCGAATCAGCGTGTCGGTCTAGTACAACGCAGGTTTCATATTCATATCACATTAACACGTGCTCGTCATAATATGCATCTACAATTTCTACCAATTCATCACAATCATCATACTCGCTGTCGACGCGCTACGTAGAACCTGCTTATTTGAAAATGTCTAATGTGTTCTCTCTCTGAACAATCACGAAATATTTTCAATTTGGCGTTAAGCAAACAACAATCAATCAATGTTTAAAAAACAGCATTCCCAGCAAAGCCAAAAGTGAATTTGCATTTCACTTTATTAATCTCACAATTGATATCTTATAAAATACTTTAAAATCAATGTTTTTGTAACCTCATCTAACTATTAATGCATGTCAAAAATAGACAGGTATCGATACCATTACATAATATCTGTTTTAAAAAAGTATACTAATGAAAATTTTAAACAGCATGTACTTCTCAAAGATAATTTGCTCTTTTCTATATCACGCTGTGGGATTGCAATTTGCAGTTAAAGATACATTAGGTCGTACAAATTAAATTTGCTTATTAGCCGTGTCATATATGCAACAAAGCTGAAATGGAAAATAAACCACATTCATGCTGTCAAAATATTCTTTGTGTTATTTTAGTACTTGTAAAATTACATATTTTTAAACATTAGTGTTTGTCTTCATCAAAAAATTGAGAGCAGATACCCAGGGGGCAATAAAAAACATATAATGGTTTACTTTTATAAATTGTAACTTGGATGGCGAGTTGTCTCATTGGCACTCATACCACATCTTCCTATATCTATATATTTAAAAAAAAAAAACCTGACAACACCATGCGGGCCACAAAAAGGAGGAGAGGACGAAAAGACAATAAAAAAATACACAACGCAGAATACTTAGAGATTGAGCAACAAATACCTCGCCAAAAACCATAAGTGAACTCAGACGCGAAAGTCGGCACCAGACTTGTTAAAGTTAAACATGTCGATGGTTTAGGCAACATGTACAAAGTTTCTATTGTATTTGCTAGTATTTCAAATCATTTGCGTCTGGCAGAGAAATCCTAATAGTTTTGATTTATATTTAATTTTACATTTGCTAATTCAGAAACTTCAATTTACGTGTATTACATCTGTGTAAATAAACTTTACGAAATCGAAGCTTTAATTTAATTGAAGAATTCCGATTATCAATGGTTACAAATGTTTGGATTGTTGTCGTTATTTTTATTTAATTTTTGCACTTTCGAAATCTGCTGAGAAAAAACTGCAAGAAAACTTAGTTTTATTTGACCCTTTTAAGTTAATTTTCTCAATTGTTCTAAATATATATGAAATATTTGCTACTGAACGTGTAGCAAACACCATTCATAATTTTCTGAATGTAGTTAGCTTATCGTTAGACGTGTTTAACCATTAAACATTATATTTTCTTACAGAATACTAAAATCATATCACTCGGGGTTTTCAGATACTCTTTAAACCTTTTTTTTATACAACAAGATCAATTATGTTAATTTAATTTTGTTTATTTTGGAATGTTTTCCTTTACAACTTGGGGAATCGATAGAAAGTATGTTATAGAGACTTTTGTCTATACATTTATATGTTTTACTTGTTTTAAGTAGCTGCCAGATTGCTAAATATGAATATTAGGGAAGTGCCTCTAATTTCTAAATAAATGCCTTTAAAGGCGGCGAATCACATTAGATTTACGGTTATATATACAACGAGTTGGACCTGAGTACAATATAGTTATATAAATACATGACTTTGTTGGGTATACGTCAAATAGACAGCAACAAAACGACACAAACATAAAATGATATATCTAGTCTATTTAACGGACAATGATTATTTTTAAACACGGTGTATAAAATTACAATTATGTAAGCTTGCATGTGTACCATTCAATGTGATTTTTTACAAAACGAACTACAACATGTATGTATTGACAAAGTTTAAATTATTTAAAGCCTTTGTATTTGAACTTCTGTTGTTTTCCCCTATAGATTTACAAGTATGTAACCATAGGATTTTTCCAATTTGTAGTTTTATCCGTTTAAATATTTGATATGATGCTCAAATGTCACAAACCGTATATTGAAATACAAATGAACAAAGTGCAATGAGTCTAGTGCTTCGTCTGATATGCAATTAAACTGTAGATCAATCAGATTTAAAAATAAACAATTTCATTTAAATGCGTTAAAAGAAAATTTTGAATTCCCTTGATGGCAATTCTCAAATAAATTCCATTAATAATATTATCAATTGTTGTGGTAACTATAGGAACACCCATAAACCATTACCTTTTGGCTAGAATTATATAATATTGGATATCTGTATCTGAAACTTTCATACCAATTCCATTTGATAAATTATTAACTTAAAGATAAGTAAGTCATGGAAGGAAGTAAGATTTTCTTCTCAAAAGAATTCAGTTTCAATATCAAATAAAAGGTAAAAAAAATATCTGTAGCCGTTTCTATGCACATTTTGTTATTGATAGTATATCAAATGAGAAATGTAGTCATAGACACAGGCAATCAACAGATTGTATAGTACCTTAAGTTCAACTAGAACATTTTCTTTTTGTCGTTAATTACTTGTTAAGTTTAAATTGGAAAAACACCATCTCCTGATGTTTAAGTTGTATAGGCAATTGCAGAATGTCCGTGATTTTGAATATAATCTAATAATTAAAACAAATAATCTACGATCACGGTGCTATATTTGAGAAGACGATTGAATAGTGTATAATGTATAACTGGCATACATGTACAGTTTGATCTTATAATCTGCTGTTACAACACTTTCTCCGGTTAAGGGGAGGATGAAAGCTGGGTGTGGATGGGTTGAGCACTCACAAACATTTTAACCACCCACGTTCTTTATTCTCCGAGGGAAGATGTGCACTTGTCGATCATTCTTTTGAATAGAACATTTTAAGCGTGAACTTTCAATTAAAATGCACAGAAGTTGAAATAAATAAAAGAAATGTTAGTTTATTAATCAAAAATTAAAAATATTTGACATAAAAGAACATATAATTATTGTCCGTAACTATTTCTTTTTACGTTTTTATGTGACGCGATTTCTGAGTTGTACCAGGCAAATTTGACCTTAGATTGATTTGGCTATTGTTTTTAGGTCCTTTTTGGTAATATAGCTCTTCCAATGTCTCGATTTTCCTGATGAAGTTAAATCCAGAAAAGCGCTTTGGACCCATGAAATTATCATGATTATATTGTAAAGTAACACAAACCAAATTTCTAGAAAACGTAAAATGATGGGAGGTTTTAAGTAAAATGAAAATAACTCTTTATAAAAGAGGGACGAAAGATACCAGAGGGACAGTAAAACTCATAGATCGAAAACAAACTGACAACGCCATGGCCAAAAATAAAGAGACAAACAGACAAATAATAGTACAGATGACACAACATAGAAAACTAAAGACTAAGCAACACGAACCCCACCAAAAACTGGGGGTGATCTCAGGTGCTCCGGAGAGATAAGCAGATCCTGCTCCACATGTGGCACCCGTCACAAATTAATATAAATTTCGTGCGTCTCGGAACGCTTTTCTGGATTTACCTTCACCAGGAACACTCATACTTAACATTTGAATGCAAAGGATGCATAAATATGTAGAAATGTTTACTTAGGAGTTATATAACCAAAATAGACCTAAAACGAATAACCAAATTCATCTACGGCCAACTTTGCCTAAGGGAGTTGTGACAATAGTTTCTGAATAATTTCTTGATAAGGATTTTTAAAGCAATTGTAAGGCGACGCGCATCAGTACACTACACATTTCTGAGATGGATGTAGTTAGTTTTCAGACATTTGTGAAGAAGTTAGTTTAAAGTATGCGCATCGATAGTAGAGCAGCATTATATTTTCCGGCTGTGCGTCAATCCGTCTGTATCCGTATCAGGTTAAAGTG